CCTAGAAAAAAGGTTTCCCTTCTACTAGTTTTACAAAAAGTCATCACATGGCAGAAGGTGCGAATCGACCCCTTGCAGTTGTCGTTTTTGGGTGGTTATTTTTTCTAACCGGAGGCCTTCCGCAAGCACCCTATGGCCAGGCAAACTTAAGGTAATGTAACAGGAAATCCATTTAAGGCTAAATAAAGCCGTATAAAACACCTGTGTCGATGGTCTTACAGAAGTACAAATCTCTCTCTGGTGTAGATAGTATGCAGATGTATTGTCATATATCATACATGATTAATTTTACGGCATACTTAGGACTGCATGCACAAAAAAACTCTAAAATACATGTGTACTTCTACATTGTCCTGTAACAAAATTGATCTAGTCAATATATTTGGTTATGCCAACCAACGTCAACAACCTATCAATGTCAACCTCTGATGTGTACAACATATATGTAAGTGCATTTATGTTCGTGAGGAGTTAACTTCGCGATATACCTAGCCTATCCTAGCTAACTGATCTCCGTGTCAACAGTTTGAATTTGTAATGAAATAGAAATTTATATGAACAATCCTTTCCATTCATGAAGAGTTGTTATATTTAGAACTTCTTGTAAAACGGTAGCACAAAACATCTAATATGTGTAATAGTCTGTACACAACGCAACCTTCAAATGCGCTAGTTTGCTAGAAACGGGTCACATGATAATATTGTACTCGCCGATTTTTTTGAACTCATAAATATCAACTTGAATGTATCCCAACCATGCGACTCAATAGAAGCTTGGTGGAAAGACAGCGTGGGTCATTTTCCAAATTCCAGTAGAGTAGTATTTACACAAAAAACGCGCATGGTCTCTATAAATTATATTAACATTTAAGATACATTTATTAAAGTCTATGTCTTGTGCTGACTTACGTAGAATTCATCATAGGATTTATCATTGAACATGGCAAACTTACCATCCAGGACACGCGTTAATAGATCGGTCCGGTTACAGTCGTAGAATTAAAACAGTCAATTACACTCTACGGAAAATGGGCATGCGGGGCCCTCCTTAAAATGCTATTGTCTATTGTCATAACAGATCCTAATGTATATGGCAAACTTACCTATCCAACGGACACTCAACACAAGCGGCTACCTGGTACTACAACAGCACATCTGATCACTATCGACTGTACTCACAGAAGTAATTCTAAAATGTTTTAGGAGTTTGTAGTTCATTCACTTGGAAGGCATGTGGGACAGGAATGTGAGCAAGAATGTAGGACTTCCACTTGGAATGCTAAGACATCCACTTGGAAGGCATGTGGGAAGAAATGTGGGAAGAATGTAAAACTTCCACTTGAAAGGCATGTGGGTATGTGGGCAAGAATTTAGGACTACGTAGGAATGTGTCCATAAAAGTGTGCCATCAACATGCCTGTAGACATGACATGCCTGTGGAAAAAAATGCCTGTGCAATTCCTAGAATTCTTGCAAACTACACACAATACTGTGCCATTAGGCTCCCCCCTTAGGCGTCGCCAAAAAATAAAAAAAGAAAATAAAAAATAAATTCTCCAATATACCCTATAGCTAGATCTCAATCGTGTCAACATGCCCCCTCCTTTGACATGTGCCTTATTACACACTCCAATATTGTGTTTGATGTGTCGTAGGTTGCGGTAGCTCATAACATTCTTAATGACATTCTAAATTGCTGTAGCGCTTATTTGTTCCAAATACTGTCTCTATCTATATTTAGCTAAATGTATTTTACATATTGCTATTCAGAGTCAGTTTTAAGAAAGATCGTTGGCTTGTAGAAGTTGGGGTTGTGATGCACGATTGTTGGGGACATTGGATAAAAAACAATAAACAGAAAACAAATATTGTAAAGAAAAATAAAACACTAAACATTGCAAAAAGAGTGGCGTAATTGGAGTGAAAGTTTGTTATGAACGAAAATCAGGGAGGTCTGATTTTTAAAACTTCATTGGAGAAAGAAACGAGATTCAATGTCAACTTTTCCGTTTATAATAGTTGTACGTGAATAAATATATTGAGACTAAAACGATGTCTTTGCTTTAGTGTGCTGAATTCAAGCGTTCTCTGGCTAGTAGCTAGGCAAGTTTTAAAAGTACTAATAGCAATTAACACGGACATTAACACTCAACACTAATGTCCCTTTCAATCGTTTAATGTTTCTTGACAACCTATACATTTGCCACACAAGTATAAAGACAGCCGGTACTAGTATCATCTTCAAAGCGCACACATAATCTGTAATTCTACCTTATAATTACATCGGTAACAATAATGGCTAAAACATACAAGAAACCTGTACAACAGTAATTTTGTAAATACAGATATTTACAATTGAGCTATATACTTTTATTTCTTTATTTTTATACTTCGGCTTACAACAGCTGCAGGGTTGCCCAACTAGTCATAGACTATTGTTAATGGCCAACCCTGACAAAATAAAATCGTTAGGTTTATGTACAATCAATAAAATACACGGTCAAAAATTACAATGATATGTACATGCATATACAATTGTATACATTACACAAAAGTAGGGTTTTTAACATTGCATGAGTTTCTTAGTATGTGCATAGCTACCGAGGTAGTGTTTGTATTAGGGATATTATCAAAGTTTACCGTCTTGTTGCACGTGACGGATGCCATGTTACTGAGTAACCTATACAGGATATGGATCCCCGAGGGATTTCCAGGCTTTCGCTTTAAAGAATGACATTGTATGGTCTGATCGTGTGTCAACTGGGAGGGTGTTCCACAGTTTGGTAGCTCTGTAGAAGTAGAAGGCTTTCTGTGTTCAAGCACTTTTAGGGATTTGTACACAGTTTGTTTCAAATTCTGAGGGGGTATCTAGATTAAATGGCAGATGACCTGGTAGTTGGTAAAAAGACTGAGTAGCTAGGTGGGGCTGACAGGTAATACTACTTTTTGTTTGCGGTTAAAAATAGAGACTCCATGAAACGCCAGCCAATTATTCAAATGAATCACCCGTGAGTCAATTCAAATAAATCATTACTTTCGCATTGGGCATTTGGCATTGACCTTACCTTAGACCTTAGTTCCTCCTGTGCCGTATGGCACATCGGGCAGCAAGCTTCCACTTCTTTTTGTCAGCGGCCACTGTCTCCGCCTCCTCCCAGGGGATGTTTGCCCTTCTTAGATCGTCTTGGAAGGTCCTGCGCCAGGTGTGTTTCGGCCTTCCCCTCTTTCTTCTGCCGTTGTGGGGTACCCAAGTCATTGCTGTCTTAGAGTGCCTTCTGCTGGGCAGACGGAGGATATGTCCTGCCAGCTGCATCCTTTTGTCTGTGATGATGGTGCTCAG